CTGAAGAGGCAGATGCTCTCGATACGCCTCCTCTCACCTCTGTAACTATGGCGCTTGCACAAAATAACCCACAACCACAAAACAACCTTTATGTGGTAGGCAGTCAGTTTAAAGTAACACAAGGAAGTTCTTTTTCACCCAGCAGGGAATTAAAGTTGCCACCAGATGTGGTGGACGTGTAGCCAGATGCAAAAAGGGATTGCACATGTTCCTGGAGGGAAGGGGCACTGGTAGCTATTGAGCACCGGAGTGGGGATACAGCCTCTGGATTGGAGCTCCCTAGACCTTAAATGCTGAGGCTGCAAGTAAGAGAGGAACAGTGGGAAAAAACCCTGGTCAGACCCAGGTCACCCTCCCTTGCAGCACTGGGTCTCTGCCCCTGCGTGACTCAGGAGCCCAAGCAGGGTGGACCTATGGTCTGCCCCAGGTAATGGCAGTTCTTATGTTCTTACTAAGTGTGACTAACCCCGCAACAAACCTACCGCCACACAGTTACAGCATCTCCCTGCCTGAAAACAACACAGGTGCAACAACTGCTGGGAAAACTGATTCACAGTCAATTAATGAATTAATGCACCAGTAAACCGGAATACCCGGGCAGAGGATGAGCTGCTTGCAAAGTCACAGTGGACACGCTAGTATGACAGATGTTAACACATAACATCATGTGAAAAAGTTCAGCGAGTTTAAAAACAGATGGATTTCCAATAATCGTCTCAGAACTAGTTAGTGGTGGCGTTAAAAGGCAGGAAGAACTAACATAGCTGTCAAGACCAGGATCAGGCTACGGTCCCCGTCAGGGAATGCAGAGCTCAAGGCCGGACTGGCATTTGATTTTGCCTCTGAAATGTTGCTAGCGCAGCTCCACGACCATAGGAAAGATCCTCACCAACATCCCCACTGCCAGCCAACGAGCACATAAAAGACATTCCTTCTCCCTGTGTAATGTGCTGCCAAGTTTCACTTGAATTTAAAGGGGAAAACATTTGCAACAAGCTTGGTTAGAAAATAAATGCTTTGCTACAAGAGGAGACGCCCAAAAGAAAAACAATGGCTCCAGAGAGCTCAGATGCACCAAGTGCAATGTAGGGATGTGCCAGGTTAACCTGTCATTATATTTATACTGCTAATGCATGACAGTTAACGTATTTTTTTGAAGCATGGCTTGTGTTAATTGTATCAGATTTTCAAACTGCATCGGGTGAATTATTGCATGGGTTACCGATCCTACAGAGCGCGGCAGCGCCGTGTCCCTCAACCTGGCCTGTCCACCCCGTTGCACCAGAGCGGTGCGACCCTCAACCCGACACACAGGTATGAGTTATCGGATGAACACCTAACCAATATAATTAGAAGAGCTGATGTGGCTTATTTTTTCAACCATATTGACATCCCTAGTACAATGCCAGTTCTTCCTACTCAGAGGCAAATAAGAACTCAGCAGGAAAAAGCACTACTTCACTGACCTGCTCCTACCGCCCTGCTTCTCATTTGCATTATGGTTGTTTTTGTGCTAACAAAAAAATAAGACAAAGCAGCCCTCTATGCGGTCAGATAGGCAAAACATCATTAAAGATCAAGGCTCAGAAAGCACGTTGTGTTTTTCAGCAGACAGGCTTATCTCGGACATCTGACCGTCGAAGTGCGCCGAGGTCCCCGATGGAAAGTCGAGGCAAGTCGGTCCCGAGGCCGCTGCAACACCTTAGATGCTTTGCATTGCCAGTGATTCTTTGAGCAAAGTGGCACACATCTCCTCTCCAGGTATGGATGGCCATTGGCTCACAGGGAGCTCGTCCGCCCTTTGACGGGTCTTGCTTTCAGTCCCGCTGCGTATCCACACACCCTCCTCACCCAGGCTAGCCCAGGGGGGCACCAGCTTAGTTGCCGACAACCAACCACGGAACAGGTTGTACTGGTTTACATGGTACCAGCTAGCAGACCACAAGATGCCTGGCTTGACAGGCCAGATAGAAAGCGGTATTGTGCAACTGCCCGTTTCCATCCTTCTTTTATTTTCTGTCCATAAACAAGGGAAGTAAATGCAAGGCCTGCTCTTACCACATGGCAGTGACAGGGTGTAAGCACAGGTCAGGCAACGAAAGTATCCTGCTGCAGTTTGATGCCCCGGTTCTGCAATCACCGCACGGGAACCCTCTGCAGGCCAGGGGTTGCCTGCACCACCTGTCCCTGCAGAGCTGCTTGCAAGAACCAGTTCCCACCTGGCTCGTTCAAAACGAGCGCTCCCCCGGGGGACACCGAGCAGAGCACCCCGGACAGCGCCCACCAGCTCGCAAACTGAGGGAGCTCGCCGGCGGCTACTGCCCAGCTGTACTCTGCCCGGAGACGTGTGCAAAGGACACCGAGGAAAAGCGCCCCGAGGGCGCCGGGAGCCTTCCCGGCCAGAGCCTCCTGCCTGGACCGCCAGATGACAAGCTTGGCCAGCGCCGGGAGGAGGTTGACCAGGAGGTCCCGGGCCTTGGAGGGGCGACGGATGGGGTGTGCGAAAACCAAAAGGTGCGGGGAGTAGTGCAGCCCCGCTTGAGGAGCAAGTTCTGGAGGAGGAGGTGCAGGGGCTGCAACCTGGCGCACTCGGTGACCCGCACGGGCACGTCCTGTTTTCTCTTTCGTTGTCCCCCGTAATTTATTGGTGTTTTTAAGGCGCTGGTCGCCCTACCCAGTGGTGGCCCCATGGCGGTTTTCAGGCTGTTGGCGTTTTATGCTTTTACGCTTTTATGCTTTTACGCTTTTAGCTGTTTTTACCGCCACACGACTCCAGCGAGCGCCGGACGCCATCGTGCCCCCGTCCACCTATTTTCACTTGATGTCTCGGCGTGCTGGTCACTGAACCCGAGCAACGATGCTGGTGGCCAGCAGGTATCACCCCTTCGGGGGTGGTCTTCACCTTCGGCCCCTGCCCACATCCAATCGGGGTGCGGGCGCACTGTCTACCATCGGCCGCCTTCCGCAGGCGGCCCCAAAGGACTGGCGGCATAGCCGCGTGGACTGCGGACATCAAATAGTCCCACCTGGCTCGTAAGCAATACTTCCACGGCTGCTCAACCATCGCTTAAGCACAGCAGGCCCGATCCTCAGCTAGCATAAAGCAGCGTAACTCTAGCAACGCACCACGGGGGAGAGTTAAAATGCCAGCAGAAACCTGAACTAATCATGACATACCTAACCGAGGATCCAGGCTCGTGGTGGAGGCGATCTCTTTGATCAGACCAACAAGATTTTTGCAAAAAAAAGGCTTTAATTGCAATTAAATAATTTTTTTGCAAAAATCTTGTTGGTCTGAGCAGAGATCGCCTCTACCACGAGCCCCGATTGCCTTTTCCCCTAGGCTACAACCCGGATACCTAACCGAGGATGGCAAATACATATGTCATCTTCCTCGGGGACGACCAGGCCCCAGACTGCGCACGGAGCCAACAAACGCCTGTGGATCACACGCCAGATGCAACCCAGATGCCAGCCAGGTGGGTCTTTACCGAGATCACCGCTGCCACGGGCCCCAGCTGGGCCAGTCCTTAACGAGATCTCCTCCAGGCCGAGCCCCGCCGGCCGGCCGAGCAAGGCAGTCGGTGGAAGCAAGGACCGCGGGCCTGGCTGAAGGAGTGGCCCAGGTCCCACAGCCGGGGCCCACAGCGGCGGCAGGAAGCCGCCAGCGTTTACTCTGCCCGCGGGGAAGCGCCTCCTCCTACGTGCCGGGCTGCACCTCTCGCTGCCCCAGGCGCTCTCCTCCCCTGCGCCTCTCCTCAGCACCACGGCGGGGACTTAAACGGACCGAGACAGGCCTGTCTACAAGCAGCAACGGCGGCTGCAAAGCGGAGGACACGGGGCTGGCCCCAGAAATCCCCTCCCCGCGCTTCTGTTGCCCGGCCGCCCCTCAGCGATCCCCGCTCCTCAGGGCCGGGCCGGGCCGGGCGCGCTCACCCGGCAGAAGCAGCGCTGCTCCGCGGAGCCCGTTGGCTGCAGCCCCAGCGCCGCCCCGAGCAGCAGCAGCAGCAGCGTCGGC